CACGCCGCTCTTCCGGTCTCGCGGCCGCCCAGGCGCACGGTGCGCCCGCCGTCCAGCAGCAGCTTGCGTGCCGGATCGAGCGTGAACGGGCCGAAGCACAGCGCCCTGTCGAACGCGGGGTCCGAGGGGGGCGTGGCGGTCGCGTCCGACATGGCGCTAGAAGTCGTGGCGCAGCGTGGCCAGCCAGGTGCGCGGCGCGTTGTAGTTGGCCGCGTCAACGTCGACCGACGGGATCATCGTGCGCAGCACAACGTGGGTGCGGTTGGTCACGTTGCGCACACGCACCGAGAAGGTCCAGCCGCGGTCGGGGCTGGACCAGCTCGTGGCGAGGTTCAGGTAGGTCTGCGGCTCGATGGCGATGGCTGCGGTGTTCTGCACGTCGGCGTACTGCCGCGAGAGGTGCTGCAGCGTCGCGTTGAATTCAAGCTGCGCCCCGTCCGACAACGGCTGCACGTGCCCGACCCGGGCCGATAGCGACACGTGCGACGCATACGGCAGCTCGTTGCCGACGTAGTTGCTGATGGCAGCCCCCGTCGGGTTCGCGAACTCCACGATGCGGCTGCGCAGCAACTCCAGCGCCAGCGCCACCTCGGTGTGCACGGCCAGCTTGGCGGCCAGGTCGATGTCGGCGCCGTAGGTCTTGGCCCGGCCCGCGTTGACGAGCACCTGGTCGGGCACCAGCACGCCGTTGATGACGGTGTTCTGCAGCGACGCCAGGTACTCGCCGTAGCGGTTCAGGAACAGCGCGACATCCGCCGTCAGCCGCCCACCCGCCAGGCGCCACTTGCTGCCCAGTTCCCAGGTGCTGACCTTCTCGGGCCGAGCCGCGTAGGTCGAAGCGCGCTCCGACGCGGTTGCCCGATTGAACCCGCCGAACTTCTGGCCCATCGCGAAGCTGGCGTACAGGAAGTGGTCGGCGTTGCGCTGCCAGTCCACGCCCAGGCGGGGCAGCAGGCCGCGACTGGTGGTCGACAAATCCGTCGCCTCGTAGACCTGCTGCGTGCGTTGCTGGCGGGCGTCCAGCGTCCAGAAGCGGTTGTCGCCGGTCTGCTGGGTCCGGTAGGCGCGCAGGCCCGCGGTCAGGCCGAACGCGTCGGTCCACTGGTAGTGCGCCTGGCCGTAGATGCCGACGTCGGTCGTCTCCAGATGCGTCTGGCCCTCGGTGTCGATGCGCGGCCGCGTCGGCGGGATCTGGTCGACGATGCGGTCGAAGTCGAAGCGGTCGCGCACCAGCATGACGCCGGCCGTCCAGTTCAGCCGGTCCTGCTTGGCCTGCAACTGAACCTCCTGCGAGAAGGCCTTCTGCTCCACCGTCTGCGTCAGCAGGTAGCGCAGCGCCGCCTTGCCGCCGATGTCGGCGATGGTCGGATCGTCTATGTAGGCGCGGTAGCCGGTGATCGAGTGCAGGTCGATGCCGCCGCCCAGCGGGTGGCTGACCTTCAACTGCAGCCCGCCGGACACGCGCTTGAACGGCCCTGTCGTCGCAGTCACGAAGGTCACGCGCGGGGCCGACTGCGGGTCGTTGAGCGGGAAGTTGCCCGTGTTGGTGTCCGAGCGATCCAGCAGGCCGTCGACCGCCAGGATCGCGTCCAGGCCTGACGGTTCTTTCAGGCGCAGCTTGGCGCGGAACTGCGTCGCGTCGAGTTGGTTGACGCCTTCGCCTGTGGACGCGTTGTGGCCGAAGCCGTCGTTCTTGCGGCTGGACAGCGCAAAGCTGCCCGACAGCGGGCCGTCGCCAATCGGGCCGTTGAAGTAGCCATGCAGCTCGGCGTCACGGTAGTTGCCCACGCTCACGGACGCCCACGCCACCGGCGCGCGGGTGGGGTCGAGCGAGATCACCCGCACCGCACCGGCCGTCAGGTTCTGGCCGTACAGCGTCCCTTGCGGCCCGCGCAGCACCTCGATGCGGGCGACGTCCGGCAGGTCCCACAGCGCAGTGGCATAGCCGCGGATCAGCGGCACGTCGTCGACATAGATGCCGACGGCTTGGCTCATCGCCGGCACTGACACGCCCATGCCGCGGATGCCGACGGCCTGCGGCTGGTTGCTGAAGCCGTTGGGTACGGTGACGCCGGGCACGGTGCCGACCAGATCGCTGAGCTGGGCCGTGCCGTTCGCCTCGATGGCCTGCTGGTCCACGACGCCGACGGACAGCGGCGTGCGGCCCAACACGGTCTGTGTGCGTTGCGCGGTGACGATGACTGGCCGCAGCGACACCGTCGCGGCCACGGCGGTCGCGGACGCCGCGGCATCGGGCGGCGCGAGGTCGTGCTGCGCGAGCGTCGGGAAGGCGAGGGCGGTGAGCAGCAGCCCGGCGATCACCCTGCGCGAGCCGCGCTGCAGTCCCTCGCCCATCCCCCAGTGCACCATTTCGACTCCACGACTTGCCGCGGGCGCGCCGACGTGGCGCGCCCGCCGGCATGATCGCCGTGGCGCCGTGAGCGGCCCCGTGAATCGGTGTGAAATCTGGTGAGGTCGCGGCGTCAGCCCAGCTCGCCGATCAGCTGCCGCGCGGTCACGAGGTCCGAGGTGGCATGCCCTTCGTCGAAGCGCTGGTAGACGCCGGACAGCAACTGGTGCGCGTGCTGGCGCCGGCCCTGGTCGCGCCACAGGCGGGCCAGGCTGGTCGCGCTGCGCAGCTCCCACGACAAGGCCTTCTGCGACCGGGCGATGTCCAGCGAACGCGTCAGCTTCGCCTCGGCGTCGCCGATCTGCTGCGGTGCGCCGCGCAGCCCGTTCTCGGCATGGGCTCGCAGGATCTCGGGCGCGCACCAGCCCACCATGCCGCTGTCGGCCCGCTCGACGCCGACCGTGGAGACGGCGCTCTCGACCAGCGTGCCCACCATGTCCAGCTCGCCCAGGCCCGACAGAGCCTCGATGGGACCGAGCTCGATGCCCAGGCGCAGCGGTTCGCCGCGGTCACGTGCGGCGATGACTTTCTCGTAGCTGCGTGCCCACGACTGCCAATAGGCCTGCGAGTGCCGGTCGGCATGGCGGCGCAGGCGACGCAGCAACACGCCGGCGCGCTGGTTCTCGCCACGCCACAGTGCGATGGGGATCGTCGCCATCGCGAGCGCCTGGCTCAGCGCCAGCGGGTTGGTGCATTCGGCATGCGCCTCAGCCTCGGCGGCCAGGGCGACGGCGCGGTCGCAGGCGCCCTGCATCCACAGCGTGCGCGCCTGCAGTATGCGCATCGACACCGCCCGCGGGATGTGGCCGATGTACTGGCGGTAGGCGTTGCCGGCGGGGTAGTGCAGCACGCGTTCGGCCAGGGGTTTGGCGGCCTCGTGCTGGCCCATGTAGTGGTGGCTCAGGGCCAGGAAACGGTCGGACAGCAGCACCGCGGCCGGTTCGTCCGGCTCGGGCGCATAACGCCTGATGCGACGCGCCACCTCGCCGACCTCGCGGTAGTCGCCGGCGCCGAAGGCATTGGCGCACAGGCTGAACATCGCCTCGATGCTCTGCGCGGCGGAGTCGAGCTTCGCCGCGAGCGCCAGGGTTCTTTCGATGTGGGCGCCATACGCGAAATTGCGGCCCTTCGTGAAGGACCCGAGGAAGCTGCGTGCCGAACACAGGCGCAGTTCCAACCCGGGCTGGGGCGGCTGCAAGGTCTCGACCGCCTCCATGGCCATGTCCACCCAGCCGCGGAACTCGTCCACCAGGCCAAGTTCGTTGACGAGGTCGATCGCGGCTACCGTGAGCTGCACGCCCAGCAGCGCATCGCCGTCCGGCGAGAACGCCCAGTCCATGCCGGCGCGGATGTCGTCCATCATCCGGCCGTAGCGCTGCAGCCATTCGTCGATGGGCAGCAGGTCGCGCTGCGGTAGCACCTGCTGCAGCACGTCGCGGAAGTGCGTGGCGTGCGCAAAAGCCAGCCGCCGCGCCTCGCCGCCGGACACCAGCTTGTCGGCCGCGTAGGTGCGCGTCGTGTACAGCAGGCGGTGCAGCACGGTGTCGCCGTCGACGTCCACGGCCACCAGCGACTTGGCGGCCAGGCCCAGCACGCCGTCCACCACCGCCTCGGGCGGCAGGTCGGGGCTGGCGAGCACGGCGGCGGCCGACTCCAGCGTGAACGCCGAGCGGAAGATCGACAGCCGGCGCAGCACCACGCGTTCGCCATCGGTCAGCAGGTCGTGGCTCCAGTCGAGCAGCGCCTGCAGCGTGCGGT